AGCCGTGGCAAGAAGTAAGAGCACCCGGAAGCTATGGAGGGTCACATAATCCAGCTTCTGTTTTTAGGAGCTCACTCATGTTCTTCTGTAGAGAATGGCTTACAGGAAGGCAAAAGCAGAGACAAGAAGACTGGTTAGGTTAACGCAGTAGTTGAGATGAGTGAAGATAATGGCTTGGACTAGAGCAGGGGCAGTGAAGCTGGGGAAAAGCTGGAGGGAGAAAGTGTCACCTGAGCGCCGAGCGCTGAGGACATGGCCCATTGTCCCCCTATGCTTGCCTTCTTGATTGGGTGTTTTTTCTCTGGTACCTACATATCCTTCCCCATTCTCTCCTCGCAGAAAGACAACCATTATTCAACTTTCTCTGTGTTTTCCAATTTAATGGCTGCAGTGAGATCTCGTTGTTGTTTTCATTTGCATTTCCCTGACTGCCGATGATTTTGAGCATCTCCTCAAACACCTATTCGCTTTTTGGGTTTCCCCTCCTGTAAAATGCAAGTTCAAATCTTTGGTCCATTTTTATGTTGGCATGGTCATCGTTTTCTCGTGGATTGCATGATAATTCTTTGTATATACTAAATATTAATCCTTTCGTGATTTGCAAATGCATTGCAAATATCTTCTGTCATTCTGTCAGCTATCTATTAACTTTTTCTGTATGTTCTTAGTTGACAGAAATCCTAAATTCTTATGTAATCAAATTTAGAAATTTTTTGCCTTATGGTTCATGGTTTCAAAGTGTTGTTGAAGAAATCCTTCTTGCCCCCAGATCACACATAGATTCTCCTCCATTGCCTTCTATTAACTTTATCGTTTTCCATTTAATGTGTTGATCCCATTCACAGTCCATCTCTGTATATGGTGCTAAGTGGGGATGCTGTTTTATTTATTTGTGAGCCACTCATGCCCATGTCATCTACTAAACAGTCTGTTCTTTTCTTATTGATTCGTGGTGCCAATTTTATCATATATGAAGTTCCCTTAAATATTAGGCCCTGTCTCTGACCCCTCTATTTTGTTCCATTGGTCCTGTTCTTGTGCCAGCAACATACTGTTTGTGTTAGTGTGACTTTGTAGTTTATCTTAGAATCTGGTAGGGTAACACTGTCCTCTTTACTACTATTTTTTAAGGGGGAGTTTGTAATCCATGGATATTTACTGAGAGGAGGAAATTTGGAATATATTTTGGAGGTAGCACTGCGCTTATGGAATCTTTTGCTTTACTAAGGTTACAATTCTGTACGTTCAAATCTGGCAACAGTTCCCCATTGGCTTCTAGGTTTTGTACCTTGTTTAGGAAGATTTTCCTCATCCCAATATCATATAAATATTCTCTAATATTTTATTTTAAATTTTCTATAGTTGCATTTTAATGGTTAGATTTCTAATTTGTGTGGAATTTATTTTTGTGTAGTTAAGAATTGGGGCTCTAGTTTTATTTTATTCTAAATAGTGAGCTAGTTTTTCCAATAAAGAATAGTCCATCCTTTCATCACTGTTGGAAATACTTCCTTTATCATATACTAAAATTCCGTACACTATACATAGGGCTCTTTCTGGGCTCTACGTGGTTTATGGAAGGTACTGGAACCCAGAATTTGTTGGCAAGACTGGAAAAGCATTAGATGTGTTTGAGCAGGAGAATGACGGGTTGAAGGGGGTGGTTACAAAGCTCGCTGGCCAGCCAGGTGTGTGTGGGAGGAATCGGGGGAGGCAGAGGAGGCTGAGAGACAGGTGCAGCTGATGCGGTGGCAAGGAAGGGACAGGCGCCTGAGGCATCTTGAAAGAGGAAAGGTGAGGAATGCGTCCTTGCTGGGTTCGCAGGGGAGTGGTGTCAGCTGAGCCCCTGGGAGGAACGTACTTTTCAGTGCTGGGTCACCTCAGGCCAAGAGGCTGCTGGCGAGAGGCAGATCCCGGTCACCCTGATCAGTGGGAGTCGGTTAACGAGCCCCCGGACACAGCCAGAGGTAGAGGCCTCAGAGGATGCAGATGGGGGTCTCTGGGGCGATCTCCGGCTTCCTGCTCATCTAGGAGGAGAGGGTGCTGGGTGGAAAGGAACTCAGTCCCTTCCACTTTGTGCAGAGACAGCTTCAGATTTCCACATGGAGGAACTCGGGGGGCGAGGTGGATACTTGGAGCATCAGTTGCGCATCAAGAACACTGTTTCAGCTTAAATCGTACGCTCACTTGGAGACCTGCCAGAGTAGAGGAGGGCGTGAGGCACCCCTCACTCTGCTGTGTGGACATTGCCTCTTTGCCTGGCACTCCTCACTCACCCTCCCAGCCCGCTTCCCACTGTCCCCACAGGGTCCTCTGTCCCCTCCTGCCCTACTTAGAGTCCACACTGGACAATTTACCACTTAATCCAGCCACCTCTTCTCCCTTCACTAGATCATAAATCCTTTGTCGTTTCCTTCCAGATCCCGCCCTGGCAGTCAGCACGGGGCCGGGCCCACAGTAGGCAGTCTGTAAGAGCTTGCTGGTAGACAGGACCACTCAGTTTCCTGTTGCACCAGCTCTCAGTACTAGCTCTCACCTGGGTCAGAGGCTGTGCGGAGGGTGCAGAGGAAGGAACTTCTACCCCACCTCCTGTTAGCCTCCTATTCAATTTGATTTCATTCAATTAAAATGAGGCCCTGCTCTTGAGGAGTTCATGGCCCATGAGGAAATACAGGGCTGGAGACCTAGACTTTCCAGGCTCTGCCTAGGATGGATGGAGCAGGGTGGGGGCGGGAGCTTGCGGCTGGGCTTCTGCAGCCCAAAGAGGATCAAGTACCAGGCTTTGAGGTATGCCCTGGAGTCTTGGGCTTGCCCTGGGCCTACTGGATGGGGAAGGGTGGGGAGTGGAGGGAATGGAGAGACAGGCAGATCCTCAGGGAAGAGGTCTCCTGGACCTCATCCCACTCTTCACCCCGTCACCTTCAGGACCCTGTAGTGGTGTGGGTTTGGTTGCCCACAACATCAATCAATATTGCCTTCTTCTTGTTTTTTTTTTTTTTTAAGGAAGATTGGCCCTGTGCTAACATCTGTTGCCAATCTTTCTCTTTTTTCTTTTTTCTCTCCAAAGCCCCAGTACATAGTTGTGTATCATAGTTGTAGAGTTGTAGCTCTTCTATATGGGAAGCCGCCTTAGCATGGCTTGATGAGCACTGAGTAGGTCTGCGACAGGATTCAAACCAGCGAACCCCAGGCCACTGAAGCAGAACGCGCGAACTTAACCGCTACGCCACCGGGCCAGCCCCACCATTGCCTTCTTAAAGTTCAGCTTTGATCACATCACTGTCCTGCTCAAAAACCATCAATGGCTCCCACTGCCTACAGAATAAGTCCAAATTTAAAGCCTGTGGCCTGTGAGGGTCACAACTATTGGGCCCTAATGTATCTTTCCAGATTTGTTCCTTCACAAAACCTCCCTTCTCTCTGCCAACTTCCACCACCCCCTGTGTCCCGCTCTCCTCCCCCATATCTCCTCCCACACAACTCACTACTCTGACACCAGGCCACTTGCATGCCTGGGCATACCCTGCTTTCTGGCCTCCCTATTCTTGCTCTTGCTTACGCTATTCCTTCCTCCTATCATGCCCTTCCTACCTACCATTAACTGAAGAAATCTTATCTATCCTCTAAGACCCAATTCAGATGCCACGTCCTCCATGAAGCCTTCTCAGATCCTCTTTCCCTTCCCAGCTGACATCCATTTTCCATCTTCTGTGCTCCCTCGCCAGTTATTAGCTGTGTGACAGAGCTCTGTAAACCACAGAAGTTTACAAATGTGAAGGATTTACATTGATCCTTCTAGAATATCCCCTGTTACCATAGGATACTTGGACCTCTGAGCTACTGAGAGGTTGAATGTATTTGGCTCCCCAGCTGTACTGTCAGCAACTTCAAGTCTGGAATTTCCTCTCTTAGTAGCAAGTATACAGTAGGTGCTCACTAAGTTGTGAACTAAATTGAATTCAATGGAGTCCACTGAGGGGTGTGGGTGCTGAGTTGTGTCCTTGGTAGTGGGGTAGATGGCAGGGGCAGGGAAGGTTGCAAGCTGGAGGACCTGGCAAGCAGAAGGGAGCAGGGTGGGTGACGCCTCTACCTGGTGGGAAGAGGTCTCACAGACACCACCGACCGGGTTCCATCCCCACGTTCAGGCCCAGCCAGCCCTGTGTGCAGATCTCACCCTCAGTTTCATAAAATCAGTCTAATCTGTGGGCCAGAAAAGCAGGTTGTGGGGCCCCAGGTGACAGCTCAGGCAGGAAACGCCCTTTGTATCCAGCCAGGCAGCGAGAAGGTGGAGTCTCCTCAGCAGGCCCCAATGAGCCAGCCACCAGGCCAGAGATAGGGATCAGCGGGGCAGGGTGGGAGCATCCTCTAAGGTGCCCTGAGACCAGGCATGGGCGAGGCATACACTCTCTATAGCCAGCCTCCCAGGATGGCTGGGAGGGGGCACTTGCCCTTGACCCTCTCCTCACCAAGGATTCAGGCAATTATTTCCTTTCTTCATCTTCTGACTTTGGGAGCCCTGACCATGGTCCCCGACTCCCATGAGGTCCCTGCCCACAGCTCCTGGGGTACCAAGTCATGGGACTAAGTGGAATTAGGAGGGAGGGCACCATCCTCCCAGAGGGGTATCTATGAGCCATGACCCCTATAAGATGAAGAGAGAGGGCTTTCCCAAAGCATGTCTGGGCCAATCCTAAAGTTATGACAGTCCAGCATTTTCTTCTTGCCACCCACTAGTCCCTTGGTCAGCCAGGTGGTTCTGACCTTCTGGGGGCAGCAGGCCACTGACCCCAAGGGCCAGAGCCCTTGCTGGTCCCTGTGTTTCCAAGATCTGAAGACCTGAGGGTCAGGTCTAGAGGCCTAGGCCAGGGCCCTCATATCTCTACACCCTCCTTAACCCCTCCCCCAACAATCCCAGCCACTGCCAAGAGGCATCCAGAGGGTGGAGCCCTGAGGCAGAGTATAAATTCCCCATCTCACCACTCAGCTGGAGAGACGCCACGATGCTCCAGAGGCAGATGCCCTCCTGGGTCTTCCACTACCTGCCAGACCCATGCCAAGCAGAAGATGGCAGGCCTTCAGCCACCTGCGCCTTGGAGGTAAGGGAGCAGTGCTGGGTGGGTGGGGCCAGGAGCTGAGGCCAGGAGCTGAGGGCTGGGAGCATCGTAGACTCTGGAGACATGGAGCCCCTGGGCTGGGGCAGCCCCTACCTAGCACCTGGGGACACGGTCTGGCCCAGCTGGGGCTCGGGCTCCTGGGTGTACGGCCCAGCTGAGGGTACTCACGGGCTTGATAAGGCACCGTGGAGCAGCTCAGGGTCACCCTGGGACCAGGCCAGCACCCAGGTAGACAGTGCTCAGCACTGCCAGGGGTGGATCCACCTTTCCCTATCCTGGCGGCAAGTGGGCATATACCCTGTAGACATCCGAAACTGCCATGCTGTGTGAGGGTGTGGTGTCTGGTGAGGATCAGTGGCATTGCCAATCTGTCACCATCAGCCAAGAAGCCTCCCATCTGGGTCTATGGTCAAGACTCCTGGGTCCATCCAACTCCTCGCAGCCTCTCAGGGAGACCCCAGGTCCATGGGTGGGGATGCCGGAGTTCTGGACCAGCTCTGGCTCAGCTTTCTCATTTACCTCAATCTCCCAATTTGCCGTGGTAGGCACACCATGGCGATGACTGTCAGCAGTAACTTCTTCCTCATCCCCATCCCCCAGCCCACACTAAATCACCAAATGAGATGAGTGATGCCCTGAACTTGTCCCTTTGGAGTGGGAGATGGAGACCCTGCTCAGTCTCCAAGGAGCCCAAGGAGGGGAGCTTCATGCTGCCTGGTGCCCAGTGCTCCCCTGCCCTGGCCAGGATAGACATCATCTTCTGGGGTGTGCCCATGTTTCCCCACAGCCCTTGGGGGGCTGGAAGGGCCTCTAGTCAGCACTTGCTCCTGCCTCTCCAGTCTCCTTGAGACTCCTGGAACCTGGGCTGGGAGGGACCTTCCACAGAAGGGACAGAGCCTACCTTGAAGCGGGGAGTGAAGCAATTGAGAACTGCACCTGTCCCTTTCAGGTCCTGGGGGGTCCATGTGACTCTGAGCTTGGACTTCTTGCCCTGACTCCTCACCTAGCCTGGGTGATGAGAAGGAAAACTGCCATGGTAGCTCTTCCCAGGTGACCCCTGGTCTGGCATGTTGCTCAGACTAGCTGGGAATGTTCTGGGATCCCATAAAGTCTCCATCCCAATGGTCTCCTTTTAGGGAGGGCCCACACCTCCTGGAAGCTGTCCTTTTAGCGAGGGCCCACACCTCCTGGAAGCTGTTCTGAGCTCTGACACAGGTGTTGCAAGGAACTGTTGGAAACACCCAGCTCCCTGGGGAGGAGGAGGTGGCATCACCAACCAGGCCTGCCCTGAGAGGCCCTGGGGAGGGGAGTTCCCACAGGCTCCCTGGGAGCTGTCTTCCCTTCTCCAGGACCCCAGACCACATGAGATAGTTTGGTTAGAGTATGCCTGGTGCAGGGATGGGCATCAGACCTGCCACCTCTGAAACGTGGTTGTCAGACCCTCCCCCCAACTTCCACCCTACCTGAGAGCCCGACCCTGGAAGCCCATCTGTAACTAAACATTCTTCTGACTGATCTGTGGTGACAGCTAGACTCTTGGGGTATAGGGAGAGCCCCGAATTGGGAGCTGAGGGTTTTACTCCTGCCTCTGTTATTAACTAGTCTAGCGCATGACCTGGAGCAAGCTTTTAGCTGGTTTGGTTAATTTACGGTGAGAGCCAGCCTCCAGGTGGATGGAAAGCACACTGCCCCGCGGTCAGGTAGACCTGTACCTGAGTCCCAGCCCTGCCACTTCCAGGCCGTGTGACCCTGTGTGAGATGCAATCTCCATAAACCCAGTCTTCTCCTCTGCAAAGCAGGGATAATGGGACCTTCCTCGGAGTGTGGTTGGAGGGGTAGATAAGAGCAGATGCAATGCACCCCGTGTGGAGTGAGGGCCTGGCACACTAGAAGAGGGTGATGAATTGTGTTCCCCAACCTGCCCACCAAGGTCCTATCTGTAAAGTTAGGGGGTGGGAGGGGTAATATTGAATTGCATAATAGCCAATCCTGAAAGTCAACGGGCTACATCTTTTCTGTATGAGCTGGCAAGATCCCCCCATCCTGAGTAGGTCTCAGGGGAAATGGAGTCCTTGCAAGATCAGCCCTGGGGACCAAGGCCAGGGAGGAGGCTGGAGTGTGTGTGTCTGCAGTCCGAGCAATGGGACCTCTCTCCCACATGGCTTCCCAGAAAACTACTATCCAACCCATCCTCCCCACACAGCTGTACTGGTTATTAAAGTGTCTAAATATTGTGTCTGTACTATTTGCCAAATTGTTCCTGCCCTGAACTCCAACCTCCTGAGTGCTCCCTGGTCCTTACCCCAGGACCCTCCAATGCCCCCATGAACTGAAGGATTAATTCCCATCCCTGCTCCAGGGCTGCAGCCCAGCTGGCTCAGCACCTGGTCATGCCTGTAGTTAAATATTTTGACTTTCACCCTGATACCCAGCCAGGGCATCCTATCCTAGGAATGGGCTTGTCCAAGTCCCTAAAGGTTTTACCTTGACCACACCATGAGCTACCTCATAGACGGGTTCCGTAATCTCGCTGGTTTCTGGTTCCCATCTGCACAGTCACAGATGCTGTGCTTTGTTCTATTGGATCTTTCCACTGTGTATCAATTACCTCTGGGGCCACGAAGTTTTGCTTATCTCAACCACCACTCCAATTGAGCTGATTATATCGGGAACAAAATATGTACATTCATTTTAATCCAAGAAGGTCATTTTTCACAGACCTGGTTCCTGGAATCATCTGGGCCCAAGACCTGAGTCCCATGTTCCCACTGCCTTCCTCCCAGCATGGCCCCTCCTGGCTATTTCTCAACCCCCGCTGCCAGGTTCTGTCTCCCTGCTGGCAAGATGTAAGAGCACTTTGTAGAGTGCTGTGAAATTGGGTCTTTCCTGCAAATTCCTGAGTTAGAAGGTATGAGCTAAGGCTCAAGGAGGACCACAAAGGAGCCCTCTGTGGCTCCTGCAAAATGGAACTTCTCCAAGAACCCTTAGGTTCTGATGTGCTCTGCTGTTTAAAAAAGAGAGAGATTGTGGAAGGTGTCAGAGAAATGCTGCTAGTAAGAGGACTCCCAGTAAAAGGACTCCAGAGTTTGGGGGCTATTTTTGGGCGCTGAGGGATTCAGAGTGAAAAGAGGAATCTGTCAGGAAAGTAAATTCTAAGAGGAAAAGACCGAGAAAGAGGAGATGAGGGCAAGCAGCACCTGAATTCGCATTTGCCAGGGGCTGCTTTCAAGTGATGTGACAATACAGTAGTGGTTATGAACACGGGCCAGAGAATTAGAACTGGATTCCAACTTGGGTTCCTCTGATTCTAGCTGAGTGCTGCCTGTCAAATGACCTAGGCTCAGATTCTCCATCTGTAAAGTAAGGCTAATAATAACTGCTTCGTGGAAGTGTCCTAAGGATCGAGCAGATAAAATGTAGAGATTATATACACAAGCCTTAGCATATGGCAGACACTCAACAGAGGGTAACTGATGTTGTTAGTGCTGCTGAGTTAGGGTAGGAAGAAATGGTCTTTGGAAGGTATCAGGGTCAGCTGACAGCAGAGAACATTTCCTGGAAGACAGGGAGACCTCTAGTGAGGTCCTACAGGAAGCTGTGGAGACTCATTCCCTTCAGACAAGACACAAGGGAGCCGGGCAGGGCCAAGGGCCGCCCCTCCTGGAGGCAAGAGAAGGGCTGTGATGGCCCCGAGGACCATGGCCCCGGGTTCAGAGACCTTGAACACTATGAAATATCCCTGAAGACTGACCCCTGCCTGGACTGAGGCTTCCGATGGCTCCCCACTTGAACTCTAGCTGCCCTCTGAGAAAGTGGGCCAATGGGAATAGGCTTTACCAGAACTGCTTTCCTGATGAAAGCTGACTCCTGCCTCCTCACCAGATCAGACCAGGATGACCGCTCTGCCCAGGTGCGGAGTGAGAAATGAGGAGCCCACTGCGCCCAGAGGGGTTCTGGCCAAAGGCCACAGCCACATTTCCAGAACCAGAGGAGAAGTGGGGTGTGGCCTTCGGCCCAAGGTACAAAGCTCAAAGCAAAGCCATTAGAGCCAGTTATTGACCATGAAGACATTCACTATTTCAGAGTTAATCTCACAGAAGATCCTCAGACCTATGTATGCCTGCCAGTCTGGCTTTTGTTCTGATTTTGAGGCAGCTGTTGGGGAGAGAGGAGGAAGAGACCCTAAAATCGACTTACATATCTATCTCGGAGACTAAGTAACAGCCTTCCCAGGGTCCTCATTCTATTGTTGCTGGTTAGAATGAAGCCCCAGGAGAGGCTAGAAGGACAGACATCAAAACAATAACAGTGATTGTCTCTGAGTGGTGGGATTACGAGGACCCTTTTTTTTCCTTCATACTTTTATGTTTTCCTCCAAACCCCAATATTATTTTAAATAGAGAAGAATCACAACCTTTTAAAAAGGTATGAAGTGATTCTAGCAACATGGAGTAGACTGTGTGGAGTGTAGAGGGTTCCAGCTCAGAGGCCTCTATAAATAGAATCGTTTGGTCAGTTGGAAGAGTCCAATGGCATCTGCCATGGGCACAGGTTGGGAGAAGACAGTAAAAAGATCTGTCTAAGCCTGGTCAAACTCTTAGGGAAAGGACTGCCAATCCTGAGATTCAAACAGGAAAGGCATGAACCAAGCGGAACAAAGCCAGGAAAAGTTCAGGAAAGACATGAACAGAACAGGCATGAAGCTGTCCCTCTTCCAGGCTGTGCTGGCTCAGAGTCGGGCGAGGAGAAAGCCCCTCACCTGGCCGCCTTGGGTCCCCTGGGGACCAGAGGAGTCCTCCAGAGCCCAGAAACGTGGATTGACTGGGGGAGGCTTCTTGAGTCGAGTGGTGAGAGCCTGTGGCCAGCCTGAGCTACTCTCTCCGTCAAGGCCACCTGACATCATGGCTGAAGAGTGAGTCCACTGTCCTCTCAATCCACAGAGGGGGCTGTCTCCTTGCCATCTGCTGACAGTGAGGGTCATCCGGATGAAAAACGTCCGACAGGCTGATGTCGGTGAGTATTCTCTTCTCTCTTCCCTCCTTCTTCTCTGCTTATGAGGCCCAGATGGAGAGAGACCCTGGCTGAGAAATGGTCAGGGGTGTGTGTGTGTGTGTTTGCATACACGTGTGTGTATGTCCTATACTCAGGCTGTACACCAGGCTTTGGGGTTTATATCATTTTTCCAGGCCCCTCCCTCCAGCTGTAACCTTGGCACTGCCAGCCCCTGCAGTCTGCCTGCGTCCCAGAGCACGGTCCACCTCCCTCCCTCCCCCACTCTCTCCTCCTCACTCCCTCCTTCCTAGTATCCATTTCCAGGAGCACCAGCTTCTCCCATACTGGGCACTCCTTGCTTCTGCATGAGTTTAGGAGCTGTTAGGGGTGAAGGGGAAGGAGAGGCCCTTAGGCATCATGGAGCCAGCTGCCAGCCTAGTCCCAGTGCCCCTTCTCAGGACATGGATCCCAGATTGGGTTCTGGGGTCAACGGCAGAAGCCCCACAGCACCCAGTTCCGCAGTTCAGCCTCATGGATGTGGTTTGGCTCCCCAGGGCTGTTCCTGCCATTTCCTGGAAGCCTGAACCTCACCTTCATGCAACCCCTGCTGCATTCCCAGGCCACGGGGACCCAGGGAAGTCTCTGGCTTCAGGAAGAAACGAAGGCCTCTGGGTGAGGAGGATGCTCCCTCCACACCTGTCTCTCTCCTCAAGAAATCAGGAGAACCAAAAGTATGCTGTCCTCATCTTTCCCCGATCCAGAAAGGAAACTTGGCCCTCAAGGAGGAGACAGCTCTGTGTCAAGGCCCCACGGCTGAGGGGGATCCCCACTCACTGGTGACCACACAGGAATGGCCCAAGGGTCACCAGCTTTCCCCAAAGCTCTGTTATACTCCCACTGCCCTCACCCCAGGATTCAGCTAGGCTGGGGAGGGCCTCAGAGGGGCAGAGAGCACACAGACCCGTGACCCCGAGAGTATGGAACGTGTTAACAAGGGGAGACATCTATCCTAAAGCCGTTATGGATTAGATAGTAGATGGCATTCTAATCTTGTCACTACAGAATTTAGAACTGGAGGACACTGAAAGCTGGGAGTGGCTAGAGAAGGCTGCATTGAGGACCTGGGGTCTGAGAGGGGCAGGCTGTGAGCATCCAGAGGCCGGGGAGCCCAATCTGCCAGGGGCGCCGTCCTGAGGAGGGGAGAGGAGCATCCCCTGAGCACCTGCTGGGGGCTGGCCTTGGGCCAGACGTCCAAACACCATTTGATCCTCCCGACAGACTGAGGGTAGTGCTGTGAGGCCCATTTTGCACATGAGGGTAATGATTGCCTAAAGTGGAAGCAGTGTTTGGTCCCAGGTCTGGAGAGCTGGGGAGCAGAGGGGACAAGCCAGGAGAAGGAGGCTGTGATACCAAACCAAATGGGCTCGCCTCCTGGTGAGTTAAATAAGACTCTACACCAGTGGAAGTTGTCTCACAAAGTAAAGTATATTTGCAGCAAATAGGAGGCCATGAGGAGTCATTTCCAAAGTCATGGCGTCCCTGAACAAAGGGAAGCAGGAATTTTTATTTCAGATGGGGAACGAATATTCAAAAGGGAAAGGCGGGTATTCACTTGTGCAGGCTCAGTTGAAGAACATGCTTCCACATACACTGCAGATTACAGCTTAATCTCCTCCTGAAGAGCTCTTCATTTTAAAATTAAGGCAAGGTCAGGGGGGTACCACTTGTAGGGAGGCTTGGTTAGCTTCAGGGTGGTTGCTGGTTGTGTCTCCTTAACATAAAAACAGTTAAATGCTTCTAAACCCTCCCTTGAGTTCCTTTCGCTAGTCTGTGAAAGCAAGGGCCAGTTGGTGGAGAGCCAGGCAGCCAGGCAGAGGGGGGTTCCTGCTTTAAGTGAGGGGGCACCTGAGTTCTTAAGGAAGGGATCGCATGACTTCCTGAGGGCTCATATGCAGATTGTGCTGCACAGAGGTGGGGAGAGGCTGAGGAACTCGCTAGGAAACTGTTGTTGCAATGCAGGGATGAGTGTGAAGGGCGGAAGAGGGAGGGCCCTGGAGTCCCAGAGAAAGCATCAGACAGGATTCTGCCTGGGTACCCTGGAGGACGAAGGTGTCCAGAGCCCGTGCCAGGGGGAGCAGTTCCAGCAAAAGTCCAGTTTGGGCCTGGGTCTGCCAAGAGACCGACCAGAGGGCTAAGGACTTCTCAGGCTTCTCGGGGCCTTCCAGCCCCCAGTGAGTGATCTGAGGCCTGGAAGGGTCCCCTGGACCTGGGGCCTGGCTGCCTTTCTTGCCCATGCCATGGAGTGTCACTCAGACACTTCACTCCCTCTCAGGCAGAGTTCACCCCACTCCCCTTGGGGACAACCACAGCTCCCACAGGCCCACAGCTGCACTTGCCTGCCTCCACCCCTCTTGATGTGTGTCTGTCCCAGCCATGCAGGTCACCCTGGCTGCATGCTCTCATGACATTCATGCACCTGTGTGCTCAGACTTCCCCAGTGTCCAGGGCCTTTTCTTCTGTCTTCTCCCTGCCACACCTGTCACCTGCAGACCCCAGAGGTGGGGATCCGGCTGGGGGAGCAGGCAGCCAGAGAAACAGGCAGATGTCTGGCTCTCCATCCCCTCTCTCCCTTCCCCACCTGCCCCTCTGGCACACAGGCTGCCTCTGGGAGGGGTACCCTGTCCCCTTTGGGAAGCCTATTATTGTTTATGTTTTCCTCATTTCCCCTGAGGAACAGGATGGGGGGCATGTATGATGTCTGGGGGTGTCCACACAGGTCACGCTGTGTCTGGAGCCTACAGGGGTCATGGCCTGGGCTCTGTTGCTGCCTCGCCTGGGTTGGGTTTGAGACTCTCCTGATGCCTTTCAGGCCCTGACTTACTCTCGCCCCAAATGAGTCCCTTCTAGTGTCAATCAAAAATGAGGTCCCCTCTTGCTTAGTCCTCGAACGTGTGCCTGAGTTTCCCAAGATTTGAAAGAGCCTGAAAGGGATGAGATTCAGGGATGAGTCTCTCCTCAAGGAGCACGCCACCCAGCCCTAGCCCAGGACTTGGAGAGTGTCAGCCCGGAAACCTCCCAGCTGTCAAGAGTTTTAATAAATTAAACTCTTTTTTTTTTTTTTGTGAGGACAATCAGCCCTGAGCTATCTGTTCCCAATCCTCCACCTTTTTTTTTTTCCCCAAAGCCCCAGTAGATAGTTGTATGTCATAGTTGCACATCCTTCTAGTTGCTGTATGTGGGATGGCGCCTCAGCATGGCCAGACAAGCGGTGCGTTGGTGCACGCCCAGGATCCGAACCCGGGCTGCCAGTAGCGGAGCGTGCACACTTAACCACTAAGCCACAGGGCTGACCCCAATAAATTAAACTTTTAATTTATAAACTAAAACTCACACCAGCACCCCATGGGGTGTGAGGCAGGTGTCTCCAGAGGTATCAGGGAGACAATGTCCTCATCCTCTGTAGAGGTCACTAAGTCATCTTTGCCACCCACACTCCAGGAAAGGAGACACCATTCAGATGACCCCGCCCTCTGTCACTGCCTGAGGAACAACGATTAGGACCCATGCATGCCTGGGAAATCCCCTGCAGTCCCTGAAATTCTCAGAATTGGGTCATTGCTGCTTAACCATTCTTCATTGCCAACACCTCAGTCAGCATCCTTACGGTCAGCTAATGATGTGTGCCCCAGATCGTCAACCTTCCTCCATCATCCCTCCATCCCCAGGATTACCCTCTCCTGGGGCTGCAATCTCCTGCTTCCCCATGTTATGGGGGAGGAGGAAGGAGAGCTCTCTGTGAAGGAACTGAAAAACAAATTTTTTTGGGTGCGTGAGGAAGATCAGCCCTGAGCTAACATCCATGCCAATCCTTCTCTTTTTGCTGAGGAAGACTGGCCCTGGGCTGACATCTGTGCCTATCTTCCTCCACTTTATATGGGATGCCACCACAGCACGGCCTGACAAGTGGTGCATCGGTGTGCGCCCGGGATCTGAACCTGGGCCGCCAGCAGTGGAGCGCGAGCACTTAACTGCTACGCCACGGGGCCAGCCCCTGAAAAACGAGTTAATGCTTGAAGTGTAGGTGTCTGATCAATCCTGTCTGTTCCAGGAGTATTTTTATCTTAACTAGAGATTTAAGCCTTAGGCCGAAAACACTGAGATTTTATTTAATGGGTTTAATGGGAGAATTTTAGGCATGGACTGATGATAAGAAAGGGATTTTAGAGGGAAAAGGGCCTTTCCAGGGTCCATCAAATCATGCTAAGCAAATGGGTGTAGAGTTGGTGGGGTCCCTGCCTGCAGACTCCTCACGTATAGGAGGCAGACCTGAGGAGAACCTTCCAGGCCCAGGAGGAGTGGCCAGTGTCCAGGCAAAGCCAAGGGAAGGGTCCAAGAGGACTGAGCCGGTCTCCAGTGAGTCTCCCTATGGGCAGAGCGATTACACATGCTGACTTGCTTACCTGTATCTGCGGTGACTCAGCCCAGAATTTCCGGGATACTGATATAGCGCTATAACAGGAAGTCAGGTTTTTCAGTTCATTCACTTATTCAACAAATGTTTTCCTAGTGCATGCTGGCTATGTTCCCAGGGCTGGAAACACCCATCTCTCAGACCTCCCAGCATTCAGGGAGAGGTGGAGACAGACATTCCCACTTGCCATTGCACGCAGGGTAGCCTGTGCTCCCCCAGGAGAAGAGCAGAGGGCTCTAGGCTCGGAGGGGCACCTGGCCCAGACTTGGGGCCTCAGGGAAGGCTTCCTGAGGAGGTGCCTTCTGAAACCTGAAGGGGCTAGCCAGGGGAAGGGTGGGGTGAAAGTGGAAGAGAAGGGTGCTCTAGGCAGAAAGAATGGCAACACAGCATGGCACCTTCTGGACCTACAAGTGATTGGGTTTGGCTGGAGTCTAAAGTGTGGGGGAAGGGGAGGGTGGAAAGACGAGGTAGAGGCTGGGAAAGTGGGAGGGGCAGCCACGTTGAGTGGTTGGGACACCTTCCTAAGGGCAGATGGGAGCCATTGAAGGATCTTAAACTGGGGACTGATATGGTCAGATCTAAAAAGAGACCTCTGGTTTCTCTTGAGAAACCAGAAAAGATTAGAGGAGGGCAAGACAGGAGACAGAGTGCCCGATCAGGAAGCAGCAGCAGAGATGATGGTGGCCTGCACCAAGGCAGTGTCAGTGCAAGTAGGAAGTGGACAGGCTCAAGAAGTCCAAGGAGTCAAATCGATTCCATGTGAGAGTCAAGGACAATGCTTGGTGTCTGGCCTGGACGCCTGAGCTGACAGTGAGGAGGAGCAGGCTGGGCATGGAGGGGATGCGTGGGGATGATGAGGTCATCATTTTCTTTTGACTCTGTTGGGTTTTGGTCATTCTTTGTGTCTGGATTAAATGATAATTATGACATCTAAAGGACAGTGTCATCTCATCTTTATTCAAAAGGAGGAGGGCTGTGAATTCCAATTCACTGAATGGTGAGCCCTCAAAGATTAACCAGACATCGGGGATGAAATCAGAAGCTAGGGATGCTTGTGATGCAAACCGTGGTTATTAACTCTGATAAAATTCTCAGCGTAGTGACAACGTAGGACTAAGTCAGTCCAGGGGCACACCTCTAGTTCCACTCTCACAGGACATTATCAATAATAATTACAATCGGTTTGACTCAGTCCTACCAGTACAGAACTCCCGTCCTCGCATCAGCTTTACCATCTGGAGGACTTTCTGACCCTGGAAACTGTATTGAGTTTTACCACTTTCTACATATCTGGTGTGTATCCTGGAAATTACCCCAGCAGATTGCGAGGAGAGTGAAAAGGATAGTCATAGCACCTCTTCCTCCCTCCTCCCAGGTAGAATGGAGGGAGAGAACCAGGCCAGACTATTTTTCACCCTATGCCTTCTATTGCTCCAACCAGAAGACCTGGAGGCCTTCCTCCACTTTGTGAGGGACTGTTGGGATCAAAGCCTTTGTCCCTTCTCCAGAGCACATTCAGCAGCAGCATCCTTGGGTTGTTCATTTCAAATGAGAAACAAAGTACGTGGCCTCAGATGAGAGGGTTTCTTGGGTCGCACACCTTGTGCTGGGAGACCAGTGTAGGTATGAAGAGCCCAGCAGGGTGCAGTTGAGACATTAAGTCACATGTGGATGGTGGTCCCTGCTCCTAGATGCTGCTGAATAGCTTGTTCCCCCAAGCCTTCTCCCATCAGGGCCCTCTGGGCTGACTCACAGCAGACTGTGTCCCTTCTAATCCTTGCTTCTCCTCAGCCCAGAGGAAGAGGCGGGCCCCACTTTGGTTTCCCTGGTGCGTTGGGCTAAGGCAAGAGGTAAACTGGACCCTGTGGGCTGGTCCTCTAGATCTTCCCCTGGCAGAGGGAAAACTACGTGGTCATGGCTTGTCCCAAACCAGCAGGTGTTTGCTCGGAGAACTAGGGAGCTTCTGATAAGAGCCAGAGGCCATCTGTGTCCATGAGAATGGTCAGCGGGACCTAGGTCCCCCTCTGTGAAACCTCTAGCCTGCAGGCTATGGCTTTCTTGGAGTTCTGGGACAAAGGTCTCTAGAGAGTCAGAGCCATGAGTCAGGAGGGGACCTGAAGCTGAGATGATGCCTTGCTCTGGAAGTGACTTGACTGAACTTCTCTTCTGACTCTACACTCTCCTCTCTGGACCTAGATTGGCTCCTCACCTTCCCTCCCACCCTTGTTTCCTTGGACAGTGAGCCAGACAGACTGCTTTGTGAGCCTCTGGCTGCCCACCGCCTCTCATGAGAGGCTGAGGACTAGGACCATCTCCAACTGTCCAAACCCAGAGTGGAATGAATCCTTCAACTTCCAGATCCAGAGCCAAGTGAAGGTGAGAAGTGGAGGCTGCCCTGCCTACATTTCTATCCCCCTCCTTGCCTGCTGGTCCTTCTCTTTGCTTGTGTGTCCTTCTTATGCCTTCTTATGTTTGTTCTTCTTTCTACCTGCTTCTTGTCCTTCTATCGACCTGTCGTCCCACTCACCCACTTCTTCCTTCGGCCTATCTCATATTCGTCCCTCTAACTCTACTTATCTCTCTACTTCTTTCCTGTCTCTCTTGTCCTTCTACCTAATTGTTGCTGGACCTGGGTGTCTCCTGCTCCAAAACAGAGTGTGCTTCCAGAACATGCTCCAAGTAAGAGAATACACAGAGGGGAAGAGCCATTCTATTCACTAGGTCCAAGGCCAGTCTAATTCCAGCCACAGGGTTTTCTCTATCTTAAATCCTTTTTAGATGGCTTTATTATTTCCATTTCCTTGGGTGTGTGTTATTTTATTTGTTGAGTTGTTGTTTCATGGTGTTGGTCTTCTTCAGATATATGATGACTCTAAGATGAGTCCACATATCCTGTGGGAGAATTCTCCCTTAAGCATCCTGAGTTGTGACTGCCTCAGCAGAGTGCCCTTAAAACAAACTTGGCCTCATCATGGAGGCATCAACCCCAGTCTTGGGGCACTGGAGGCTCGATGCTTCCAGCTTGCTACTTCCATATTTTAGGGAGGATTCTTCATTTCTGGTTCGTAATGAGTAATTTTTGCTTTCAAGAAGGGCTTTATATTTATTATTTTAAAAATATCTCTTCTATCATATTTATGGTTTTGGTGAGGGAGGGGGATTTTGGTGTGGGCTCAATCTGCCATCTTGAAATCAGAATTTGGGCTTCATTGTGTAAAGATCTATGGGGCTGCTCATATGGGTCTATGGAGTTAGTTCTGGGACACATCTGGGTTTCTGGTAATTACAAGGTCACAGATCTCATTCAGTAGGGAACCATCAGAACCACTTATGTCCACTAGACAGGGACCAAAGAGGCAAACCCAGCCCTAACCCACATCTCCCAGGATCCTTGGAACAAGAGGCCTCAAAGGCTAACCCATATCACCTGAGACCACTGACCTCAGAGTTCAGCCGGATGACAGGGTAGCTGCTTACCTCTTGGTATGCTGCTTTGGAACCATCCACGAGACCTCATTAGGAGCTGATGACCCGAAGGATGGACTTCAAACACCTCACCTCAACCCCATCAAGTATCAGAACCCTTATAATATTTGCCACATCACTCCTCTGGATTGTTAAGATGTTAGCTTCCCTGAACTGGATTTTCTAGCGCCAAATGGGCTATCTTCAGCTCCTGGGGCCCCAGTGCTGGACACATTCTATGTCTTGGCAACGGTCTTGCTTGCTGCCTTCCATCATTCCCCTAGGTGAAATGAAATCCCTCACACTACACAGACCCCTGCCAAGCTTGCAGAAGAGCAAAGTTCTCCAGCAGGAGAGTCAGAGCAGGAGGGCAGGAAGGTTTCAGAGATTTGGAAAGGAGGGAATAGACACTTTCCTCCGTTAATACATTTACCTACAAATGTCTCTCACACCTGAGCAGGGACCTCTGTACTGGTCCCCATCCCTCAGACCCACCTCCTCACTAGGACTGAGGTCAGGCCCCTCATCCTGGGAATGGGCCAGTGCAACCACAGTAACCAGATTGCACTCTCCCTTCTCCCCTAGAATGTGCTAGAGCTGAGCGTCTGTGATGAAGACACAGTGACACCAGATGACCATCTCTTGACAGTTCTCTATGACCTCACCAAGCTCTGCTTCCGAAAGAAAACCCACGTGAAGTTCCCACTCAATCCAGAGGTGGGTACATGTGCCCAGGCCTTCAGACTCCCGCCTCATGAGGAGCAGCTGGTTATTCCCATGGTGCCATTCCATGGGCTCCTCTCTGTGTAGCCAAGTCGGGAAAAGATAGTGCTGCTGGTTCAAATCCCAGTGCTATCACTTACTACCTGTGTGAACTTGTGGAAATTACTTAATTCCCTGAGTTCTATTTCCTCATCAATACAATGGTAATAACAATACCTGCCACACAGGGTCATTTTGAGATTCAAATGGGAAAACATAATTAAGGCACCCAGCACTCTTCATGGTACAAAATGGAGAGGTGGTTAGTGTTGGTTCCCTTTCTTCCCTCAGAGTCTTGCTGCTGGGATGGCCCAGGGGACAGACGATAGATGAGGGTAAAGAAGGCAAATCTGCAAGTCAGAGATACTCAGAGCTGGAAAGGACCAGGACATTATCGATTCAATCATTTGACAAATACGTGAATGCCTACTATGGGCCAGGCATTGTTCCAGGCACTGGGGACACGTCAGGGGACAAATATCCCTGCCCTCACCTGGCTTACATTCTGGTGGGGAAATTAAGGTCCAATAAGGTCAGGACTTCCCAAGGTTGCACAGCAAGGGCTGTGAAGCAGTAGAGGAGGGCAGGGCCCCTACCCTTTGGAGTTGAGCTTGCTGGGGGCAATATCTCAGCTCTCCCTTGCCCCAGGCACTGAGCCCCCTGGGAAGGCAGAAGAGCAGTGGGAAGCTGGAAATGTTGTGGGGCAGAGGAATTTGCATGTTGGGGTTGGAGGTCAACTCCATACCCTGACCCTCCCCTGGGTCGTCAGTGGTGTTCCTGATATCAAAGACTTGGGGACAAAGAGAGGCAGTGGGGACAAGAAGAGCAGGGAGCAGCTGCCCCGACTCCATGACAGCAGCACAGCCACGTGGGAAGCACAGGGACAGATGCGCAGGGGCTCCTGGGGCAGCAGAAGGTCCTGGTATGCAGAGAGGTGCAGACACAGCTCACAGCGGTCTTCCTTCCTCCCCTGCCAGGGCATGGAGGAGCTGGAGGTGGAGTTCCTGCTGGAGGAGAGGTGAGTAGGCCCGGGCCCCAGGGCTCCACCAAGGTCCTGACCCCCAAGTAGCTTCTGGGCACAGGCATTGCACAGCCTGGTCCACCTTTTTGCTGTCCTCCCCTCTTCTACTCTCACCCCTGGCCTCCTCACTGCGCCTCGGAGTCACTTGGAAGCTTCTAAATACTGTAGGTGGCTGGGCCCCACCCCTACTGATCCCGTTCTACTGACGTCAGTGTTGCTTTAAGGATCTAGTCCTCTGGCCATATCATCGGCCTCAGCTCCCCTGCATTTCTGAGAGTGGCCTCTGGGAAGAACTCCTGCCACCATGGTGACGGGGACCTTGTTGACGCCAGGCTGAAAAAGAGATCAGGACACAGAGGTCCTCCTTGACCCAGAACTGGTAGAACAAACTCCCCCAAACCCTGGCCTGAAGCAGAGGCTTTCCCCCTCTGCAGCCACCTCTGGAACCAAGTCAGGTGGAGGCTCAGGCCCAACATGTGGGGTTATTGCCCATCATTTTCAGTAAGGAAGATGACCCAGGGTCTTGGAGGTATGACCATGCTGGGGGATTGAGTGGAACTGGGTCACAGAGCTGGAGATGGGAACAAGGAGAGGACAGAGAGAGAAGGAAAGGAAGGAGCAGTGAGGGAGGGGAGCAGGGCCCCTGCCCAGAGGGGACAAGCCTGCCCCAGGATGGCAGTGTGCTTTGTGATCAGCAGCCGGCTCCTCCCCTCCTCTTAGCCCTGGCAGGGCTAAGCCCTCTGGACTTATGATCAGCTGGGGACAGGGGAGGACAACAGGCAGGAGCTAGAACAGGAAGGCTTGTAGAATTCCACTCTGCCTAGGGGCTCCATGCCTTGGTTCCCATCAACAGCTGATGAACTAATTAACATCAACTTTATTTGTTTCACCATGAAGAAAATCTGGGCTCTCTCCTCCAGTTCTTGGTTTGATAGGACTTTTAGTGGGGAAAAAAAAGTCTTTGGCTGAGTTAGAAAGTGGCTTGCAAAATGAAACATGTCAAAATTGGTAATCAGAGTTGATCGGGAGACACAAGCATCTTGGGCTTGATTTTGGCGAGGGAGGCTGTGGACTCCCCTAGACTAATTGTAACCTGGAGGCTTATATTTTCAGCTTTGTAAACACAGGACATTTCATATTCACCAGGCCTGTCTCTGGCTGAGTCAGAACTGTTTATTAAATGCATAAATTAAATAAAGCACAGAAGGGAGAAGGGGTCAGTTTTGTACCAGCACAATTTACACCTGCTCAGGTGGCGGTTCCAGCCTTTTCTTGCAACCTGTTTATCCTCATAACTCCATGCAGTTGCATCTGGTTGGATATAAAGAACAATTATCCTTTAAGAAAAAAAAAGGAACTCTCCTATTCTTTCTAACCTATAAATCTATTTTTTTTTCTGGACATTCTATTTAAAATGTATGCCAGTTTTCTCCTTGACTATCTACAGATCTAAGGTTTCTTAAGCCAGTACTTTTCATAAGGACTAAGAAGTCTCTGATATCTCATTATTGGCCCTAGGCAGGCTCTTTATCACCTTTGTGAGAAATCAGTCCAGAATGGTGTGACTGACCAGGAGTTCTCCTTTTGTTTTTCAGCCCCTCTCCACCTGAGACCCTCATCACCAATGGTGTACTGGTGGTAAGTGTCCTTCTAGGTTCCTGTAGCTCCAGAGGCCACATGTGGCGGCTGCTCTCAGGGGAACAGGACTGTGGGAGAGAACAGTTGGCCCAGAGCCCCCCAGGACTCAGACTGACTGAAGCCAGCCAAGGGGGTATGGGCAGTGGGGGGGTGGGGGATACAGCAGCTGGGCGCCTGATCCTGGGGAGGAAGGAGCTAAGACATCAGTCGCCCTGCCCCAGCATCCTGTATCCCACAACGACGACCCCTCCTCTCGGGAACCTCCCTAATAGAAGTACCCACAAGGAGGCAGCCTCCTCCCAGGGTCAGTCTCGGTCCCATTTTCCCCCAATCCAGTCTCTCTATAAGCACAAGTTCAGTGTTAAAAAGATTTTCATTGGGGCCAGCCCAGTGGCATAGTGGTCAAGTTCACGTACTCTGCTTTGGCGGCCCGGGGTTCACAGGTTTGGATCCCGGGCGCAGACCTACACCCTGCTTATCAAGCCATGCTGTGGCAGGCATCCCACATATAAAGTAGAGGAAGATGGGCACGGATGTTAACCCAGGGCCAATTTTCCTCAGCAAAAAGAGGAAGATTGGCAACAGATGTTAGCTCAGGGCTGATCTTCCTCACCAAAAAAAAAAAAAAAACAAAAGATTTTCATCATTCAGCTGTCAGTGCAGCCATTTCCGTTAGATGCATCAAAAGCCTCAGGATTCAGGGGGATCTCCCAAAAAATCAGTCTTTGGGAGTTCTTGATAAAGGAATTTGACCTGCCTCTGCTTCTTCAGAAGGCTGTTTCATTAGAAGTTCTCACTTTCAAAGCCCAGAGTGGGATGTTCCTTCTTTTGGTTTTGGACCAAACCACTCCGGTTCCATCCCTGACCTGTCGCTGAGAACACAACCCCTAGTAAATGGTGACGGCACATCCTAGATTTTTCAGGACAGCTTCTTTGTCAAATACTCAATATCTGAATGAGATGACAGGCCTTAATTGGGTTCAGAAAATGTGGTCAACACACCCAGCGTTCCCCTGAGTGGGCCCAAAGTCAGGCCAGCGCTGGATTTATCCTCTCGTCCTTCGTCTCCTCCTTTTGGCCTGACAGAGCGAGGGGGAAGCTTGTGTTCAGAATGACCCTCCCTTCCTTTGTTTCAGGCTCGACAAGTCTCCCGCCTGGAGGTTCACACAAAATCCAGGAGGCGGAGGAAGAGTGGCAAAAGTGAGCCCTGGACTGCCTCTGCCTGCTGCGGGAGGGCTGTGCTGCTTCCCAGCCTAGTCAGCACCAGAGCTGGCCCCTCCACGGCTGCCCTGGGATCCATTGGGAACCAAGTTTTGGCCGAGACTCCTTGGGATCACCTCACTCTTAGGGGCTGTGAACCCCTGTCTTCTCCCCTGGTCTGTAAGGGTTGTGCCCTTCCAGGCACCCACATGACCCTCAGAGCTTCCCAGCCGTGACAAGTGCCCTGGGCAGGGATCAGTGGCACAGTGCTGCCCACTCTACCCAAACTGGTCTGCACTGCACCCCTGCCAGACCAGGGATTCCCTGGGCCAAGTCGGTAGTCAGCACCCAGGGCCCCTCTAACTGTGCTCCTTCTAGTCAGATTACAATTCATAGACAGTCCTAGCGTTTTACAGCTGGCAGAGACCTAAGAGATCCACAGATACGAGGCTCTCCAGCTCACTGCTCCATCAGATCCCACCCATGCAAGTCTTCCAGCCCTGTCCCGAGAAAGGAGAGTAGCACAGCCCGACAGACACGGGAGAGGGATGGAGGAAGAGGCCTCCATTCCCAAACTGGCGGTTTAGTGAGGACCTGCCTTCAATGCAGTGGGAGGGTGACTCTGGGGCACCTCCTGGAGAAGCAGAACCTAGGCAGACTAGTCCAGAGGACTCAGCATCTCAGAGGGCTTTCTGGGGACCTCATTTGTCAACATCACACACAAGCCTTGTTAAAATGCAGATTCCCTGGCCCTACTCTGCCCTGCAGAATGAGACTTTCTGGGGTATTTTAACCAGTGCCCCAGGTGATTCTAAACCCCTGACCTGGGCGCCTCCAGCGAGGCTTTTTACTGGGTCAAAGTGGGGGTGGGAAGTGAGAGGCTTCCCAGGGGTCTCAGCTCTCTGGTCCTCTCTTCCAGAAAAGGACGTCCTGGTAACAGTGACAGAGTCCTTCGAGCACACCCAGCGCATCTCGCACTGCCTGGAGCCCTGCTGCCCGAACCCTGCCTGCTTCCACTACCCGAAGTACTTCCAGGCCCAGATTCACGTGGAGGTGCCCAAGAGTCAATGGAGCTGTAGGGTACAAGGCGGGGGCAGTGGGAGTGGTGCAGGGGACTGGGGCAGGCGGGGCTGCAGGAGGAGCCCCTCCCCCCATCACAGAGCCCGCCCATCCTTCCAGCCTTGCTGCTGTGCACCCAAGAAGACCGGCCCTGTCTGCCAGCCCCTCAATTGCCTCCCCGACGGCCAGGCGGTGACCCTGCCTGTGGTGAGGGCCTGAGTCTGGGCAGGGGCCCCTGAGCAGCTTAGCCTGGAGTTCCTGTGGCAGAAAGATGAGAAGAGCCTGGGGGACCCGTGGGTGGTCTCTCAGGAAGGCAAGAGGGGTCTTGCGGGGTAGGAGACTGGTGAGCCGCAGTGTGGAGCCAGAGAGGGTGTAGAGGCTGAGGTGGTGATGGTAGGGAGGCTCATGTCCAGAAGAGGGAGTGGGGATAGAGCATGTATGTGTGTGCGTGTGTGTATGCATGTGTACACGTGTGTGCCGAGTCAAGTCAGGGGATGGACAGTGTAGTGAGCCTCCACTTCTTTCACTGGGACCACTTGGCTCTGAACTGTCATCCCTGACAAGCTTTTCATCTTCTGCTTCCCAGGGCGACAACTGTGAATTACACATGAAGTCTACGCCCTGGTAAAGTACCCTCTTTTCTGTTTCTTTTTTCTTTTGTCACTTGTGCTTTTGGTGTCATATTTAAGAAACCATTGCCTAATCCAAGGGCATGAAGATTTACTCCCATGTTTTCTTCCAAGAGTTTTATTGTTTTAGCTCTCACATTTAGGTCTAGGATCAATTTCAAGCTAATTTGTATATACGGTGTGAAATAGAGGTCAACTTCTTTCTTTTGCATGTGGATATCTAGTTGTCCCAGCATTGTTTATTGAAAAGACTATTCTTTCCCCTCTGGATTGTCTTGGCACCCTTGTCAAAAATCAAGTGACTGTAATTTCCATTTACAATTTGATTAGTTCTTTATCCTTGGACAAGTTGTTTAACCTCTCTAAGTCTCAGTTTTTCTCAGCTGTAAATTGGAGCAATACCAAGAATATTGTCCATTGTTGAGTTGCTTTGAGGATCCAGTGAGATAACACGTATGAAGGACCCAGTGATCTGTCTGACAAGTGGGACGCTCGGCAAATATCAACTAACGTTATTACTATTGTTGTTTTATTATTCATTCTTTGTTGAGGCTAAGGAAAAAGTTATTTCCTCACAGCTGTGTCGGCAGGTCTGGTCAGGACATGGAGGAAACAAGATGGGAGAGCTCCCAGGCTCTGCCTTCAAGAAGATGTGACCTTGTTAGTGACTCAGGTCACTAAGACTGAGGTCGGAAATGGTCAATGTCCATTCACCTGGAGTCACTGGGGGGCTGGGCCTCAGAGGATGCAAGAGATGTAGGTGGGCAGAGGGAGGAAGCTTCTGGTGAAGGCAAGGGCTGCACGAAGGCTCAGAACCGTGACTGCTTCTGGAAGTAGCAGGAGGTGAGGTGGGCTCTTGGATGCCAGGCCAGGAGCCTAGGCTTGTTCAGGGCAGGGATGTGATGAAAAGAGGGCAAGTGTTAGGCATGCTGCAGCAGCTCCTGCCCTACCTGCCTTGTACACGTGTAGGGATGACGGGGTGAGAGCAAGGATGGGAAGGCTTTATTGTCAATCACACAAATACACAGGACGGTCATTACTCCTAGAGCAGGAAGAGCTTACTGAGGAACGTGAGCCACAGGAAGGGGACCTTGTTGTTCCAGCTCAGAAGAGCCCTTACTGTAGAGTCTTGTCCAGAGGGATTGGCCAAAAGGATCTCAGGGCCCCTTGTCACCAATGTCTGGCCTTGGGCTATAGAAGGTGCCTGGGGGAAGCCTTTCTGGACTTTCCAGATCTTGCTGAGGAGGCAGGGGTTCAATGAGTCCCTAATTTTGTGAAGCCTGCTTACAGTGCCCAGTTAGGGCTTGGGGGGCTTTATATTTTTTATCTCATTAAGTGCTGAAGACAGTGCCGGGAGTTGAGCATGATTAACCCCATTTTACAGAGGAGAAAGCAGAGACCCATGGTCACAGAAGTGGTACGTGGCAGAACCAGGCTTCAGGCCTATGTCCAACTGACCCTAAAGCCGTGTCTTCTCCATGGAGATGGAGTCAACAGGCCCACTCAGCCAAGATCCTCTGTCCCCACAGCCCCCAGACGCTGGACGTGCGGCTGGGCTTCAGCCTATGCCCGGCAGAGCTGGAGTTTCTGCAGAAGCGGAAGGTGGTGGTGGCTGAGGCGCTGAAGCAGGTGTTGCAGCTGGAGGAAGACCTGCAGGGGGACGAGGTGGGTAAGCAGGATCTGCCAGCCTGGGCTCAGTGCCCGCTGTGAGCCAAGCTTGTCCTTCCCACACAGCCGTGCCAGCTGCCCCTAAGCCCTTCCCTGCCCCAGGGCGGTCTCGGCACTGCCTTTCCTGGGTGTTCATACTGCTGAGGTTCTAGGTTCCCAGGTGAGGGCTGTGCTGGATGTGATCCAGTTGTGTGCTCACCAGGCGGGGAGGGCAGAGGAGAGAGAGAAAGGAAGAGCCCTAGCTTCTCCTCCCCGTGCATTAACAATCCTGAGATGGCTAATGAAGTCTTACTTACATGGGGACAAAACGACCTCCTCTCCCCAGTCAGGAAAACATTTGAAGCTCCACTGCCTCCTACACTCCACACCTCCACCCCAAAGGCCCTTCATTCTTCAGTTCTCCCTTCCCCCAAATATGCACACGTACCACCCCCCCACCCGAAAGAACAGCAGTCGGAAGCTGGAGAGAAGCAGCTTCCACGCACAGAGCCAGCTTCTTCCCACAGGGCAGACAAGGCTGCCTTTGTTAGAGCCCTCCGTCACCTCCCTGGTGTGGACTGAGGCCCACACTCTCCCGGGCAGTAGGTCAGCCCTCCGAGAGCTCGCCTTCTGAGGCCGACCACAGGTGTGGACGGAGACCTCATGCCTAAGGAGGGCTGTGGTGGGGCTTCAGCCAACAAAGGGGTCTTACAGTTCCCACTCAAATGAAAACAGTTAGAGGGAGTCTTGGCAAAGAGCTCCTCCTCCCTGTCCCACCTTCAGGGAAACACCAAGAGCATCTTAAACGTATGTAAACCCGGAGGTGACGACCCTGCCCCTTCCCACATCAAAAATTCGTTTACTCCTGCTCTTACACGTATGGTATATACTGAGCACATACCACTGTGCCAGGCCCAGGCCTGGTGCCCTAACGTCAGATCCCTTTACAGAAGGCGGCAGTTTGCAACCATTAGGGAATCACATACTGGCTGGGTTCTTGAGCAAGCCACCCAGCCTTCTGGACCCCAGTTTCATCATCCATTAACTGAGGGCTAGTCTAACAGTGCTAAGAACTTGTCCAACCATGACTTTTTGATTTCCAAATTTGTATAAGGCTTCAGAGCCATTTACTGACACTAACCATTGGGTTTGGAGCTAAGGTCTAATTCTAGACCCCCCAAGTGGCCCTACAATCTGTTAAAGGGGTTTTCAGGTCACTCAGTGCCCCACTCTCTGCTGGCTGTAGCCAGCTCTCCCTCCTCCACTGTCCTTTCTAAACTCCTGTCTATCACTCCAAGTCGTCTCCTACCCAGCCTTGCCCCAACTGTCTGCCTCTGTGTGCCCCCAGGTACCGCTGATAGCCATCATGGCCACTGGGGGTGGAACAAGATCCATGACCGCCATGTATGGCCACCTGCTGGGGCTGCAGAAGCTGAACATCGTGAACTGTGCCAGCTACATCACTGGCCTGTCAGGGGCCACCTGGTAAGGAGCCAGGGGTCACTGTCTGGTGAAGCCCAGAGCAAGCAGCAAATGGGCTGGCCTGAGGTCTCTGGTAAAGCTCCCCCACCCCAAGTTAGTGACTCATTAACCCTGGGTAGCTCTACCACCTTCAGCTGTGTGACCTTGGTCATGCAGCTTAACTTCTCTGAGTCTCAGTTTCTGTATCTGTAAAGTGGGGATAACAATAGCACTGACTTCCTGGGGTTGTTGTGAGAAGCTCTCCCAGTACTGGGTACACAAGAGACACCACACACATCACACATGTTGGTCAGTACTGATGTAACTATTTCCAAGAGGCTGTGGCAGGGACCCAGAAGCGTGGTGGCCAACTATGAGTGAACCACTGGTGCCACCGGGCCCCTCCTGCTGGGGAGATGCAGCTGCCCTCTCTCAGACTGTGCCAAGTCTCCTAGGGTGGGTGGAGCTGGCGCAGCTGATTGGCTGCCCTCATTCCAGCCCAGCACCCATCCCCGCCCACTCCCTCTGCCAACGGGCTCCTGCCTCCTCGCTGTCTGCTGGTGAGTGAGCACTCGCCTCCCCCAGGTGAGGCCAGCGTGAGGTTGACTTCTCCAAGGGAGCCCCGGTGCCTAGGGCTCACAGTGCTTGTAGGCGCCCACAAAAATGCTTTCATTTCTTTTAAGATCAGAGGGAAAAAAATGAACATCTAGGTTGAAAAAAATGTTTTAACAAGTAATATTACTATATTTGTCTTTATACAAGCCATAAAATATAATAAGGGGCCCCCAAAGTTATAACGCAGCCCCGGTCCAGGGTGGCCGGGACCCAGTGACCACCTAAGGCCTCTCAGCCGGGGCTGCATCTTATTCTGTCCAGGATGGGTGGGCCTCTGAACCCTCGAGGTCCCGAGCTGCGCCCCTTATCCTGGAGGAGCTCAGGGTAACTTGCATTTGAGTGGGTGGCTGTGAACTCGCCCTGGGAAAGCCCAACGCTCCCTGTGCCTCAGGGGCCCCATGCCTCAGCCCAGATGGGATAGAAAGATGGCTGACAGTTATTGGCGTTGCCTCTGCTTCCGATGGATCATCTCATTTCTTCTTCACAAGAAAACTATGAGGGAGATGTTGTCATTATGCTCATTTTACAGCTGGAGAAACAAAGGAATTTGCTCAGGTCATTCAACTAATGAGTGGTAGAGCTGGGACTTGAACCAAGGCTGTCTGAGTCCAGGCCCACATGTTTAATCTCCACATTAAACTGTTGCCCATGGGTAGGTGTTAGATTAAGGAGATAAGCCTGCTTCCGTCAGGGTGAAGGGGCACCTGCCTCCTCCTGGACTGCTGCTGGGCCAGGCAGGAACTGAGAAGGAACTCAGGCCCTGCCTGGAAGAGGATGGGGAGGGGAGGGGCTCCTGGCCTGGAAAAGCACTGGGAAGGATTCTTTTAAAATCAATCATTTGTAATGGTTTTGACAGCTTTTTAAAAGTATCAAAATAAAAGAGTGAGCCTTATGGAGATCAGGGTGCTTTTTGTTGAAGAAATCTCCCGACCAACCCCCACCTTCCCAGACCAGAAACGAGTCCTGTGAAGGAAGAGGCCACTGTTCAGACAACCACGCAGCTGCAGACAAGGTCCACTGTGGGGTGAGGGGTTCCTGGGGGCTGGCCTGACATAGACTGAGAAAAGCTGAGTCCAGGCCAAGAAGAGGCAGACAGAGGCAAAGACCCAGGGCTAGGGGGATCTCCGTCTTTGTTTTATTCCTCCCTACTGCCCACACAGAAGTTAAGAAGAAGAAGGGGAAGTCAATCTTTAGCTGGCATTAACTATGGAAATTAATGTGGCAGAGTGGGAAGAGTCCAGGATTTGGAATCAGCCAAGCCTTGGTTCACATGGGGGCCCCACCACTTACATTGTCCAGGTACTGTTCTAACACCTTACATTACATTAACTCATGTAATCTTCACAATAACTCTGTGAAGTAGGTACAATTATCATCATTCTCCCCATTCCACAGATGGGGAAACTGAGGTACAGAGCAGTTAAGTAACTTGCCCAAGATCACACAGCTAGTGAGTGGCAGGGTCTGGTTTTGAACCTAGGAAGATCTGGGTCTGGAATCCTCTCTCTTAAGCAACATGCTATCCCTGACACGCAGCAGGGGGTCAAGAAACAGTAGCAGTTGTGACTATGAGTAATAAAGGTCACCCTCCCCCAGCAGGCCTCTTCCTCACCCGCTTTCCTCCAGGCTCCTCTCCTGGCAGGTTAGGGTTTCCTATGACCCGCCCACCTTCTTTCCTGTCAGGGTCCAGGGTTGATCAGATCAGGGCTGGCTCATCTCTGTCAGCCACGCCTGTCTCTCTCCAGGACCATGGCTACCTTGTACCGTGACCCTGACTGGTCCTCCAAAAACCTGGAGCCTGCCATCTTTGAGGCACGGAGGCACGCGGTCAAGGACAAGTTGCCCGCCCTGTTCCCAGACCAGCTCTCCAAATTCCGGGAGGAGCTCCGGCAGCGCAGCCAGGAAGGCTACAAGGTCACCTTTACAGACTTCTGGGGCCTGCTGATTGAGGCCTGTCTGGGGGACGAGGTAGGTGCTTAGCTTCTCCTGGGCCCCACCCTGCCCTTGCTGATGTCCAGCTCTCTTTCTTCATCGGGGGTGTCTGGACTTACATTGCAGCAGAAGGAAGTTAGGTTAGACCTGCGAGTGCATCCTTGGGCTTTAAGAAGCATGAGGCGCCCGAATGCATGATGGAGGAAGACAGTGGGATTATCTTCCCACATCCCCTTAGAGTATGACTGAGACGTTCATGTTGGGGGTGGCTTAGGTACAACCCTGCGGAGAGGCAGCATGTCCTCTGAGAGCCTTACCAAGACACCATGGAAAGAAAATGGGGAGGGAGCTGGAGAAGGCTGGAGAGCCATCAGACTGTGGCGCAAGTCTGACCCCAAGTGGAGGAGAGAGGGAAGAAAGGCTGGTGGAAGGTTCAGCAAGGCTCTTGGAGAGTCATCTAGCCAAGTTGGCCATCAGAGGAGTCCAGCACCACCCCCCATCCCCCGAATGGGCCTGCCTCAGTATCCCTGCCACACTCAGTCATGGTCTGGGAGCAGCCCAATGGGAAGTGTGGCCTCAGCGCAAACTCAGCCAAGGATTTCAGAGCCCAGCAGCTGGGGCCCTAAGTCAGTTACACTCCCTGTAGTTGACGGTCTGCAGGGCTTCTTCTCATGACCACCACACAGAGAATGGGCCCAGTGAGGTTCCTTCCTGCTCTGAGATCCAATGATCCGAGCAATATGTGCCCAAGAAGAGAGCCAGTCTGTGTTGGAACCCAGCTGCTGTGAGAGCCATGTGGGACGTGGTGGAGCAGTGGGATCCCAATGGGATGCTATGGTCCTGGATATCAAGGTAAGTTCAGCCAACACCTGAACCCCTCCAGCTACACAGGCCCCAGGGAGGAAACAACTTTGGCTGTTGCTTGGCCCCAAAGCAGAGCTTCCCGCCTAACTTCTATCCAGGCCCCTGGCTGTCTGCTCTACTCCCAGAAGGTGTCTGAGGAGTTCTGAATTCAAATCAGAACTTGCCAGAAGGAGGAGGGACAGTAAATTGTTTTCTAGTGGGTCTCATCTTCCAGAAAATACAGGCAATTTGAACAACCAAAGATGACATGAACCTCATCTTCAACATTCATTCAATACTTCATTCATTCCCTCAACAAAATTAAGTACCTCTTGCATGCCAGGAACTATGCTAGGCAACAGGGCTTCAGACTCGAGGCATTCACAGCTCTTGATGGATCCCACACCACCCTGCCCCTGTTGATAACCCATCTAATCTGTCCTCGTGATGAAGCAAGGGAGACAGAGGCTGAGGGTGTTGGCTTTTGGATTCAGGCAGGACCGGGTTTAAATTCTGGCCCAGCTCTGTGCTATTCCTTCAATGGGAATTACATCAATGTGTGGTAGTTCACATTTCTAACAGAAGTTCATGCCCCATGTGATGGGGGGGGGGGAAGCACCAAGGCATTGCCTGAGTGTTGCCAGGGTTTGGTGTGGGGAGGAGCCAAGGTTCCCAGGAAAGCAAGTCCAGGATTGATGTCAGGAGGCCTCTGCTCTTCCACTCTGGCCAAGACAGGCGCCTTCCCTCGGGCCCCCTTGACATGAGTGTGGACTGGGCTCCTTCCCGAGTCTGCAACTTCCCCTACTTCCAGGACAGTCAGCTCTGTGGTGCTCCTATCTCTGGGCCCAGTTACAACCCTGTTTGCCTTTCAAGGGAGACCCAAGAGTCGTTTGGCCCCCACACATGTTTGCCGTCCCACACAGGTTCTGTGGCCTTCCACACCTGGGTGGGGTCAGAGCCTGGGCCTCTAAGACCTCAACTGGCCTTGTCTACACTGGCTGAGGTGACCTATAGCCCATGCTGATCTGTAGGACTCTACTCTGATTATTCAGAACAGTGATCTGGGGACTTAGAGGGACCTTGGCTGCCATCTGGTGCTGAGTTTCTAAGTCTTTTGTTAAAAAAAGAAGCTTTCTTTTCCCAAACAAACAAATTTTATGAGGGAGCCCAACATGCAAAGTAGATAAGAAAAATGGAGCTGCTCCAGTTGAGTGGGACGAAGAGGGGCTACCTCTTCCACCTCTACCTTTTCATTGTCTGGTCCCTGAGACACCAGGAAAACCCTAGGACTCTGAGGGACAGTCCTAAACTGCAGGTCCAGTCCCACCCCCATCCACGTGTCTGGGGTGGTGAACAGCCCAAGGAAAGTGAACATTCTACAGGTACATTTTAAGAACAGGTGTGACGGGTGTCAACTGGGACCTACAAAGCCTCCTGGTGGCCTCAGGAGCCAGGAAATGGGCTGCCGGTGGTCCACGCTGTCCCCTTATTCTGCGCTGCCCCCAGGCTGCTTGTCTGCTTCTTCTCCTTAACCATTTCGTTTACCCACAGAAAAATGAATGCAAACTGTCAGATCAGCGTGCTGCTTTGTGCCAGGGCCAGAACCCCCTGCCCATCTACCTCACCATCAATGTCAAGGATGATGTAAGCAACCAAGATTTCAGAGGTAACACTGGTGGCTAGCAATTTGCGAGGGGGTCCCTTCTCAGCAGGCAAAGGGACCCAGCACACCCCCCAACCACACCTTGCCAACCTCCATATCAGAGAACTGTGCTGACAGCTGAAGAAACCAGCTTTGCTACCCCCTTCAGCCCTGTTGTATGGGGGTGGTGGGGGTGGACAGGCAGGGTCTTGTGGCTTCCCCAGGGCAGGGGTTTGATGGAGCAGGAGTAACAAAGTTGTGAAGGGAAGGGGTACTAGATATTTCTTAGCTGCCCAGAGAGAGAGGATCTAGAGACCTGCCCTGCTTCGGGGTCAGTTTTGGTCCCTGTTCATCTGGTTTTGAGGAGCAAATGAACATACAGATTGCAAAGCTGAGTCTTGTCCGGCCAGCAGAAGCAGATCGCGGGCACCCCCATGTACCCCGCAGGGGAACTGCGACCTGTCCCAGGCTCTTCAAGGCCCCGGGTGGCGAGGAGGGAAGGCAGGGCTGGCCCGGCCTGAGACTGACACCATGCCCCGCTGCTTTGTGTGCAGAGTGGTGCGAGTTCTCCCCCTACGAGGTGGGCCTGCAGAAGTACGGGGCCTTCATTCCCACTGAGCTCTTTGGCTCTGAGTTCTTCATGGGGCGGCTGATGAAGAGGATCCCAGAGTCAAGGATGTGCTTCATGCTAGGTGACTCTTGGCTGGGGGAGGCCCCTGGGCACCCCGCCTCATGCTGGCCAGGCCATGCCTTTGAATTAATGGAATGACAGCGAAGCACGCTCTCTTTTCCCCGAGGGTCTTGTCCCAGGTGCTGGGGCTGGTCGGGGTTATCCCTTAAGCTTGTAACCTTCCTGGCATTTGCCAGCATCCCCTCATCCCAGGAGAGGCTCCCGAACCTACCTCGAGACTGGCCTCCCAGACTGTCCTGATCTCCCTGTGACCCTTTGGGCCCAGAAGGACCTGACAGAGGTCCCCAAGTCACTGGGGACCAGAGGGATCTCTCCCAATGTCCTAGTCTCCAGTGGTCTCCCTGGGGTCTGTTCAGAATTGGACTGAGAGTGGCAGGCTGAGATGGAAGCTTCAGGAACACCAACCTCCTCCTCCTTTGTCTCCAGGCAGCAACGTGGCTGCTTCCAGGGCCCACCCAGCTGCTAGGATCCAAGGGGCCAGAGGGGAGCATGGAGTGATGGCCGAGTCTCTGGGGAAGCCTGGCCAATGCTCCCTGGTCCTCTAGAAGCTGGGGGCACTAAGTGTAGGGGCCGGGCTGTGGTGTCCACTCCTACAGCTCTCCCCTTCAGAGTCTGACCTGCATCCATCAAAGGGCAACCTCACAAAACAGACCCGTCTCTAGAGCCTCCACACAGTTTTATGCCCTTATTTAAACTAGTCATCTACACCACCCTCCCTTCTATCTGTCCTAATCCAACCCATCCCAGAAGGTCCAATTCAAGCCCCATCTCTTCCATGAAATCATCTGGAAGCCACCAGCCCATGGTGGCCTCTCCTTTCTCTGAACACCTGTGTTATTGTGCATGTGGCTCAGAGACACTTGGGCTTGAACTCTGGCGCCTCATTTATTAGCTGTGTGAAGTTGGCCAAATTACCTAACCTTTCTGTGCCTCAAGTTTCCTATCTCCAAATTGGGCTTAAGAGTAAAACCTACCTTACAGAGGATCCAAATGGGTCAATGTATGTGAAAGATCTCATATAAGTACTTTTATTAACGTGTTGCATTTTTAAATCATAACAATAAGAGATAGCATTGGATCTATCAAGTGTTCACCATGTGCCAGGCACTGTCCTAAACTGGTATGTTAACTGATGCAAGGGGTGGCATCTGGACTTGAACTGGAAGCCTGCACTTGCCAGCATTAAGTCCCTGCTGGGGCTGTGCCTTAGACGCCTTCACACCCTCGCCCAACTCTGAGAGGAGGGCGGAGAAGAGCAGAGGGCTGGGGATCATCGGTGTCCTGTGTCGAGCTGCACTGTGGGGAGAGGGAAACCAAAGTCTGCCCCAACCCCTGAGCGACCTGACTTGGAGGGGCCATCAAGGCCAAGGCAGAAGCAGTCAGTATTTGGGTGGGCCTGGGGCTCTCGGGCAGAGCTGCTCACGGCTGACCCTTCTCCCTAGGTTTGTGGAGCAGCATCTTCTCCTTGAACCTGCTCGATGCCTGGAATCTGTCCCACAACTCAGAGGAGTTTTTCCACAGGTGGACGAGGGAGAGAGTGCACGACATCGGTGGGCGACCCACTGGCTTCCCCTCTTGGTTGGGTGATGGGGGGTGGAGAGGGGTGGATCACAAACTGAGGACCAGTCCACCGGCCACATGTTTCAACATGGTCTCTGTGACCCACAGAGATGGGACAGCAGCTAGGGCTAGAAAGTCTTCCCAGCCTGGAGGGGAGGGTGATTTGGGTGGAGACACCTGTGCCTAGGCCCGGTCACAAGCTCTGGGGCCAGCTCTGGCCTGTTGGGAGGAGTGGATCTGCTGTGCAGTAGGCTTGGCAGGGCTGCATGGTGCCCAGGAGAGCTAACAGGGGTAGGGATCTATGAGCACAGTTAAAAGTCACTCTTTTAGACTCACTGTCATCTCTAGAACTCCTCCTTACCTGTCATCATCCCCCCCTCCACTACCCTGTCTCTGTTCTGTCTCTCGCCGCAGTCCTCCTGGCCCCAACGCCAGGGCCTTAAGAACTAGGCAAGGAAGGTGTGAACTGCACTTGGTGAATGGCTGACCCCTGGGTGCCTGGCAACCATGTGGTGCTTTACCTGGGCCATCTGGGGACCCCAGCTCTTGTGACCTGCTCTCCACTCCCCCCTCTGCCTTGCAGAAGACGAGCCGCTCCTGCCTGAAATCCCCAAATGTGATGACAACGTCCTGGACACCACGGTGGTGACCCCAGGGTCGTGGCTGTCCAACACTTTCCGCAGTGTTCTCACCCATCGGCCCTTCGTGTCTGAGTTCCACAACTTCCTGCAGGGGCTGCAGCTGCACACCGACTACCTCCAAAGCAGAGAGTTCTCCACGTGGAAAGGTAACGCTGCCGGCTGCTCCTTGAGGCCTGCCTCTCTTTGGAGGAAGGAGAAGTGGATGTCGAGGTTGCCACAGAGAAAGGAGGAGAAAGCTCCTCTGACCGTGTTCATTGGGTCGGGTGGCAGACTCTCCCCACGGTGTAGTCCATGTTTGGTGAGGTCTTGAGCAGTGGGTGGAGTGGAGTGCGTATTTAAGTAATTAAATCTGTACGACAGCTCTATACAGAATCTGATCAACAATCCCAGCGGGTAGAAGTTGGGGCCCTGATGGGGAGACGTGCGCCCCAACTTTCTTCAGCTGTGCCCTGGGGGCACCTTTTAATGTGAATGGTGGCCCTGGATTTGGGCAGGTATGGCTCGGCTCAAGAACCCCCAGATGGTAAGTGGCAGAGCTGGCTCTTAAGCTGTGGTCTTGCAGCTTCAACCCAGTGCCTCCTCCCCATCCTGCTATGGCTCTAATGTTGACAAGGTGAGGTATTTTATTTGACCACAGCCTGCAAATGGCTGCTTGAACCTAGCCTAATAATCCTCGTCCTCATCGGCTAGGGCAGAAAGGGCAACTGGCTCTGGGCCTGGGGTTTGCACTAATTTAAGGATGGTCTTACATCCCTGCTACCCCACACGCTCTGTGGCTGAGTCAGTGGGTTTTCTGTGCATGTTCCACAGAAGACTTGCTAAAACCCCAAGATAATGCTGTTCTTCATCAGCCCACCCAGAGGGACATGGGGACTTACCGGGCGTCCTGGCCGGGACGGGAGGGCTGGAGGCCCAGGCTGAGGTGAGGGAGCTCCGTGCAGGACACTCATCCCACCAGGTGCCTCTGACCATCGCTGAGATCAGGGCGCCAGGGCGTGATGGTAACTGGAAACCTTGGCTTTCAGACACCGTGCTGGACGGTTTCCCAAACCAGCTGACAGAGTCTGCGAACCACCTGTGCCTGCTGGACACGGCATTCTTTGTCAACTCCAGCTACCCGCCCCTCCTCAGGCCTGAGAGAAAAGTTGACCTCATCATCCACCTCAACTACTGCGCCGGGTCCCAGACAAAGGCAAGTGAGGCAGAGAAAGGCTCCCCCAGCCCAAGCAGAGTGCTGAGCCTCTTCGGAGACAGGTTCCTGAAGGAGCACCTTGAAGCCGGGAAATGGGAGAGCATGCGCTCCCACAGACTCCAAGACAGCATCAGAGAAACTCCAGCCGCTCTGCCTGATATGCGATTAGATGTCCAAACCTCGGGGGGCAACCAGCTGGCCCCCACATGCAGTGGGGCCCAGGGTTTACGCAGACTCACTGGGTGGATTCCAATTTAATTCTTGCATCTGAGTGTTTGCCATATTTGGCAATTCTTCAGCTGCAAAAAAACATTTTAAAAAGTAACCTTAATAGAGTCCAGTCAATTCTAAAGTTTTGTACCACTTCAAAAGCTTGTAACGTCCTATTTTCAAATTAATCACACTGTCCCCTTTTAGTGTAATTACACTAAAGAACCAGGGACCAGAGATTTTTATTTATTTACTTTTGAAAAGTTCTGGCCTTTTAAGGGAAAGAAACTTGTTTTTTTGGGCCACTTTAGTACAGTCCTGTCCTGAAGCAGGGAAAGGGGAGTGTAGACAGATAAGGATGACATCAGTGATAATGACCTATGTTTGTAAGTGAGTGACAGCATGCTTTCCTACACTTGATCCTTATGCCAGCTCTTTGACATAGATGGCATAACATTCCCATGTTATAGGTGAGGACACTGAGACACAGAGAGGGTAAGTGGCTTGCTTAAGATCACACAGCTAGTGAGTGTGGAACAGGGGGTAGAACTGAGGGTTCTGACACTCTAAGTCTACTGCTCTTTGTTGCATCTTGTTTATAAAGATGCCCTTTCAGAGTCCTTTCCAGCCCTGTGGCACTTTCTCAGTTCCAAAGCCCATGCACGTCCCACAGCACCACGTCACCTTGTCAGGGTGCCACCCATATCTTCCCAGGTCTGTGTTTGGGTGAAGCTTCGCTGAAAGGGTTTCTGTCCACTTTACTTGGAGAAGGAGCCTGCAGATGGACACACACCAAGCTCCTGCCTCAGGACCTTTGTTCTGACCCAGCTTTGTCCTAAAAATAGCGCCAATAGGCAAAGCAGTGGGAGCCCTGAGTTGCCAGCTGGGGCAATCAGGAACCTCTGTTTCTCATCCACCCCGCCCCTCCTAATCCTCAAACATGTCGTCCTGTGCTATCCTAGCCCATGAAGCAAACCTGTGAGTACTGCACCACGCAGAACATCCCCTTCCCCAAGTACGAGCTACAGGAGGAGGAGGAAGAGAAGCTGAAGGAGTGTTACCTGATGGAGAACCCACAGGAGCCTGACGCCCCCATTGTGATTTTTTTCCCACTCATCAACGACACCTTCCAAAAGTACAAGGCCCCAGGTAAGCCGCCTCTGGTCTTCGTTCCCACCACCTGCTGGCCTCGGACTGAGAGCTCCTGTCCTTAGACGTGTGCAGTCTTCTTACAGCACGAACGGGGAGCCTGGTTCAGCTCCAGTCTGGGCCAACCTTGGCTTTGGCGAGAAAGAAAAGACCCCCACGCCCCTATGTGCTGACAACGTCCAACTCGAGTCTTCCAGGCCACATTTACTGACCTCCAAAGATGCTCCTGGCACTGTTTTGGTGCCAGGGAGGTCCTGAGATGGGCAAGCTGCATCCCTGCCCTGAGGAGCTTGGAGGGGTGTGTGCACGTGTGCGGGTGTGAGTGTGCATGCCTGTGCATGTTTTCATGCAGGTGTATGTGCCCATGTGGGGAGGGGCAGGTCATGGGGAGAGATACACAAACAAGTCACTACAACTTAATGCGATAAAGGTCTATAGGGAGTCCTTCTGCTGCCTCCAGGTGTGGAGCGAAGCCCCGAGGAGCTGGAGCAGGGTCGGGTTGACATTTATGGCCCCAAAACTCCCTACGCCACCAAGGAGCTGACATACACGGAGGCCGCCTTCGACAAGATGGTGAAGCTCTCCGAGTACAACATCCTGAATAATAAAGACAAGCTCCTTCAGGCCTTGCGGCTGGCAGTGGAGAAGAAGAAACGCCTGAAGGGCCAGTGTCCCTCCTAAGTCCCAAGGAGCCTCCCCGATCCTGTGTCTGCTTCCACCATCAGACTCAAACCCATTGGGGCTGGCGGACCGCACAGCAGGCTCCGCACTCTGGCAAGGGGTGCAGGCTGGCCCAGGCTTTCTGTCAAAATCTAAAAATTAAAAAAAGTTGAGGGAGACAGAGAGAGAGAGAAAGAGACAAAGGAAAATAACAAGGGGATATACTGGGGTTTTACACCCACTGCAGAGAAGGGGTTCTAATAGCAGCAGGCTCGCACATGCCAAAAGTATGGAGAATGAAAGCTTGGCCCGAAGGAGAGGCTGGTTCACCTGGAAACCTCAGACTCAGAGCTGGAGCTCAGAGCCCTCTGCTCTCTGCTCCTCTGCCCCCTCACTCAGAGGGCTCAGGGAATGCGCCAGAGGAGCTGAGAAGCACTCGGGGTTCTCTGGAAAAACGCTTTTAAATTTAAGGCAATTATATTCCTGTGATTTTTATAGTCAATTGTATTTTGTGGCTTTTATTTTTATGAATCAGGGTCTCAATAGGAAGTGTGATGCTAGAAGATCTAGATGGAGCATTAGGGACATCTTGGTCTCTTGAACAACAAAGCCAAACAGGTGACGGCTTTCAGCAGCCCTTCTCTAGCCATTCAGAGCCTGGGGCTGGTGATCCTGTGATCCTGCCTGAGCATTCAGCTCCAGGGAAATGCCAGACAAGGCTCAAGTCTGCAGCTTAGATTCACCAGGTCTGGGATGCAGCTCAGGGATGGCTGGGCAGGTAAATGGACACAGGCATCAGGTGGGCGATGCTGCCCAGTGCTGCCCACTCAGAGAGGCCGACACTCGCTGACCAACCCGCTCCAGAAGCACTTCTCAGTTCTCTTATCACCCTCCTCTCTGGTTTCCAGATGGAACTATTAATTTCTAAATGGGATTCCTTTTATGCATCATGTAAACACTATGGGCAGCACATCTCAACTCTTGGAGTCACCCTGAAAGAATGAAACTAGGAAGGATCAACCCAGAGAGGACTAGGTTAGCTCTGAGGAAGAAGCTCATCCTTGGGGATAGCTTCCAGATGAATTGCTGGGAAGGCCCTGGGACACAGAGAAGCCCAATCAAAGTATCCAGGCCTCGCATCAGGCTGGGAACTTAACTAAAGAAACGTGCAACCTCAGCCATTGAGATGCCCAGGCTGGTGGAAGGTGTGCCCAGAAAAGCATGTTGTCCCTGTGAAGCCCAGCAAACCTGGAAGACATGGCCCTCTTTCTGGGCCACGATGCTCCCTAAGCAGTCCCTTGGTTGTTAGGAGACGAGCGGTGACAGGTACCAAAAGTTTAGAAAAATTGACCTCCAGTTTACATCCTCGCTACTCAAAGTGTGGTGGGGAACTGGTTAGAAATGCAGAATCTCGGGCCCCACCCCAGCCATACCGAATCAGAATCTGCATTTTCAGGAGTTTTCCACCTCCTCTCCACTGCCCCGCCAGGTGATGCCTATGCATATTAAAGTCTGAGAGGTGTGGATTTATGCCATACCCTCCCGTGAGCTTGGAAAGCATGAATCAATCCTCTGCCCTGAGCCACTGATAAAACCAGGCTTCTGGACCTGCAATATGGTCCCCATGCAGATAATGCTAACCTGGGACGCTGCCCCTCCCCACTGCCAGAGTATCCAGCTGCGTCCACTTGGACACCTTTTCTTTCCATCTGCAACAAACAGGCTCTCCTTAAATGATCAGAGTGAGCCACGCAGCAAGGCCTGTTTGTCGTAAGGTGAAGGCAGATTTGCCTTGGGTTCACCAAAGTGTATAAAATGAGGTTTATAAAGTCATTGTATTTTTGAGCACAGAATAAAATGGCCATGTGGGTAAATGCTGTTGACTCATCTGCTCTCATTATCTGATGTTGCAGAACATGCATAACTCCTGCCCTCATCCCTGCCTGGCTTCCCAGGCACCACTGCCAGAGGTGTGAGAAGGCCATTTCCATCCCATCCCTCCTCTCCTCCACTGCTCCCTGTCCTCCCGCAGGGGTGCCACCTTCTTGTGGGGGGTGCTCCTCTGTTTTTATGAAGCCCCGTCAGCAGCTAGTGGAGCCCCAGCTCTTGCTGACCCATGCCGTTTGAAGCTCAGATGGTCTTCAGGAAGCACTGATGGAGAGGAAGAAAGGGCAGCCAGCATGAGCTGAGCACCTACTTGGTACACAGCAGGCAGTAAACAGCCTCTGCTTTCCAGGAACTTAGATTTGGGTTGGAGGGAAAAACATGAAAAGATTATTTTTTTCAATTTTATTTATTTGTTTTTTCCCCCAAAGCCCCAGTAGATAGTTGTGTGTCATAGCTGCACATCCTTCTAGTTGCTGTATGTGGGATGCGGCCTCAGCATGGTCAGAGAAGCAGCGCGTCGGTGCGCGCCCGGGATCCGAACCCGGGCCGCCAGCAGCGGAGCACGCGCACTTAACTGCTAAGCCACGGGGTCGGCCCTGAAAAGATTTTTATATAGACTCGAGTAGTTAAATAGTGACAGCTTCTAAAACGATGCTGGTGATGTCACAGAGCAGGAGATGAGCAAGGGCCACACCAGGGATAAGGACAAAGTGTCATCAGCTCTGATAGGGGCAAGGGCACAGTGTCCTGTAGAGGTCAGGGAGGCCCTCCTCAGGGTCCCTGTTCTCTGCTTGTAAACATGATTACCCAGAAAAATTAAATGAAATTCCTCTCCCCTGCAGTATCCCTCCCTCCTTGCCTCCCCTTTCCTTCCCAAGACAGCAGCCAGCACACCACAGGGCCACGCAGCCCAGCCACCCTGTCCCACAGTAGATGCTTCCCCAACGCCTCTCCCCAAGGTCGCTGCTGTCCTCCTCACTGCCGGACACACTGAGCCCAGTGGCACGGGCCCTTTACAGGCTGTATCTGGCTTGATTGTTCTCAGCATTTGGCACTGCTGACCACTCCCTCCTTCCTGAAACCCTCCCTTCCCGTGACTTCCTTGCCAACAGCAGCTCAATTCAGTTCCGCTGGCAAAATTTATTGCCTTCCCTCTACGTGCCGGTCACTGTTGTAGGCCCTGAGACAATAAAAAGGATTAACAACGGACCCCACACTTCAAGGAGCTTCCTTCTGGTCCCCTGTAGGAGGCCCCCCTGGAGACAGAGCCTTGCAATACGAAGAGACGGTTCCGTATGAGCTGTGTACACAAGGGGCACACATTAGGGGCTGCCAACCCAGCCCTAAAGGGGAGGGGCCAGGTTTGCTGGACACCTTCTGTCCTGGATTTCTTCCCACTTTCAAGCCCCTCCCCTGGCCTCACCTCCCCTGCTCTCCTTTAACTGCTGGTATTCGTGAGGTTCTCTCCTGAGCTCTCCTCTTTTCTCCCCCTATACTCTCCTTAAGCAATCTCAGCTACACCCAGGACTTCAACTACTGCTTCTATTTTGAAAACTCTCAAACCTTTAGCTCTGGCCAAGCCAATCTCCCAAGTTCTTGATTCATATATTCCAATTCTATAGCAGTTAGCATTACTTTTGCTACATAGACAAAAAGATCTAAAATTACAGTGGCTTAAACAAGATAGAAGATGTTTATTTCTCTATTTCTTATCAGACACCCAGGCTCCTTTCAGCTCTTGCTTCTGCCATCCTCAAGTTTGCCTTCTGGTTCAGTACGGCTGTTGGAGCTCCACCCATCATGTCCACATTCCAGGCAGCAGGGAGGATAAAGGGGTCTGAGCTCCTACTGACTATGAAGATACCAAGCCAGACCTAGTTTACCTAGCTCTGGACTTCTTTTCTGTGAAATAAAACTAAACTTTTATCTTAACAAGATAATAAGAATTACCAGCTGTTCCAGTTATCTCTTGCTGAGCAACAAAACCTCCCAAAATATATTGGCATAAAATAACCACCATTTGATTACACCCACAGATTCTGTGGGTCAGGAATTTGGAAAGGGCACAGCAAGGACAGCTCTTGTCTGCTCCATGTGTGGGGCCTCAGCTCAGATGACTTGAGCTGTTGGGGAGGACTCAGAATGCTGGGGTCTGGAACAGTTGGGTCTGAAGGATCTGAGGTGGCTCCTTCAGTCACGTGTCTGGTGCCTGGGCTGACAAGACTGGGAAGGATGAAGGTCAGGCTTAGTTTGCTTGACTGTCTGTCAGAGCACCTTCACGTGGCCTCCCCAGCTTGGTGGTCTGAGGATAGTCAGTCTTCTGAAATGGCAGCCCAGGGCTCCAAGGGTGAGTGTAACACAGCGGCAGCTGCATGGCATATTGTGACCTAGCCTCAGAAGTCACACGGCATCACTTCCACAGTCCTCTATTGGCAGAAGCATTCACAAGCCAGCCTAGAGTTAAGGGGAGAGGACAAAGATCCTATCTCTTGATAGGAGGCATGTCAAAAAAAAATATGTGACTGTGTTTTAAATCCCAGCCTGTGATAACTGAATCCTTAATGTTGACCTTCTCCCTCTTCCACTACATGAATGTCACATTTTGGATTCTGTTACTGTAGACTCCATTTCTAGTAACAAAGTCAGTGTAAACTAGGAATTACTTTCCTCTCTGACTAACAGAGACCTGACACGTAGTGGCTTAAATGCACTCATGTGAAAGAAACTCACAGGGAGGCAGTCCAAGGCTGACGTGGCACTTCCATGATTCATCAGGGATCCTGTTCCTTCCAGCAGGATTTATCATCCCTTGTGTAGTCCTTGGCGTCATTGTCCAAGATGAGCCCTGGAGTTCCAGCCATCATATCCATATCCCAGGCTACAAGAGGGAAGAAGGGGAGAGAAAGATTGAACTCTTTTCTTTTTAAAGGAGACTTCCTTCAAGTCCCAGTCATCCTTCAGGTAACACATCAGCAACCGAAACTTGGTCTCATGATCACGCTTAACAGCAGGGAGGCTGGAAAATTTTGTTTTCACCTGGGTGGCAGTGTGCCCAGCTCAAAGTCAGAGTTCTGTTGTTGAAGAAGGACAATTTATAGGCAACTGGCAGTCTTGCTGCAAGTACCTACCAGATATCTCCACCTGCGTGTCCTACAAGCTACATCTCAGAGTGGCAGCAGGCCTGGGTAAGTGGCCACAGAGAAAGGAGAGGTGTGTCTGAGAGTGAAGGAGGTTCTTCCCAGGCTGAAGTGCCTCCTCTAGTCTCAGCACGTGTCTCCCAGGCCTTCAACCACTCCGGAATTTAAAGTGATCAGAAT